TCCTCCTTCCTCATCTGCTCCTATTTTAGAGATTAGAAATCAGGGGGATGGTTCTCATGTTTTAGTAAAATCAGTTCTAGATCCAGGAGAAGCCACAACAGTTTCTCTAGACCACTGGATTCCAGTTTGGACCAGAGGAGTAGGTTGGTAACTGTTATTTATAATTTTACACAACAATATCCCATGTTGAAAAGGAAGTACTGTAACTTCCCCTGCAGACAGGAAAACTATTAAATATTAGTTGTTTTGATGTGATTTATTACTAATACTTTTATTACCCATGGACACCAGTCTAGAAGCTTTTAGGCATTTGAAATAATGGATAAGGAAGTGCTGATGCTAACGCTTATGTAAATTTACAGGACTTTGTGTGTAAAAGAAGAAAGAGAGAAGAGAAATGTGGGCAACCTGAAGTAAGGAAACAAGAAGGTACTCAAGTGCCTACCACTTTGATTATCTGCGTGCTATATGAAAATTCCTATATGGATGCATGAGAAACTGATGGAGCAGCAATTGTTGTATCTGTCATTCATTTTCCAATTTGCTATAGCAATATTCATCATAAGATTTAAAAACAAAAGTTTGCAAGTTACCTGTTCTCCCTGGTAACCCTGTACATGATGCTGTAATCAAACCATGTCAGTAGCAAGTGAACCTAAGCATAGTCCTAAATATGAATCTCAAATATAACCCTGCTTTCCAAGGCTACAGGGATGAGTGTCAGAAAGCTGTAAAGGTGGAGCCAAATTGTTATAAAGCCTGCAGTAGTTTTGAGCACTTAGTTTAGGCCCTTAGTCTGGGTCCCTTCACAGTCTGAGTTATATCTGAGGATAAAGGAATTCTGATAAGGCCTGTGTGAAGTGGCTAGTATTCACTTGGGATTCAGCCAATTCGGGGGACAGTGATTCAATTCCATGATTCGAATCACTGTCCCAAATCGATTTGGCCGAATCTGATTTGGAGATTCAGCTACTGCCAAATCAGCCAAATCTCTGAATCACACAGGCCCCATCCCCCACCAGCTCTCAATGGCTGCCTCGCCTGCCCCAGCTCGCGGCTCTTTTGTAAAACAAAAGCCCTCACTCACCAGCTGCTGCCAAGCAGGGAAGTGATCCCTGCTGCTCCCCAATGCTCCATGCTGGATGTGGGGCTCTGCCACAAGCCCCCTGACCCCTCCTGCTCTCCCAGCCCCGCCCATGGTGCCCCACCTGCCTCAACCCTGGCCCTTAAAAAAAAAAAAAGTCCTGACTTACCGACCCCTGCCCAGCAGGGGATGATCCCTGCTACCCCCTACTGCCCCACGCTGCATGGGGGGGGCTCTGCACATACACGAGAAGCCCCGAGGCTGCTGCAGCAGCCGGTGAGTCCAGGGGTGGGTGGGGAAGCCATGTGGGGACTGGGGGAGCAGGTGGGAGTCAGGGGGTGCTTGTGGGGGCTAGGGCAACAGGAGGGGATAGGGCTTGGCAGGGTTCTCCCCATGGTCCCCTCCCACCTCCTCCAGCCTCCCCTCCCCTGCCCCTACTTACCAGCCTGGAATCCAGGTCAAGCTCCATGCTGCAGCGAGTGGGGACTGCCTGAATTGCCGAACCTCTCCAAATCTTTTCCAAATCTATTCTGAGAGCTTCAAATCAATTCAGTCCTCTGTTTCGATTCAGATTTGGAGATTCGGCACCTGAAGCTTCGCACAGCCCTAATACTGATAACTATTTGCCTGTAAAGTGTACTTAACGAAGGGATCATTATTTCATACAAATGTTACTGAGATCCTATAGGTTAAGGCTTTGAAGGTTCTGTCCTACTGCTTTTTGCTGTATTTGAGACTATAATCTGTATTTCCCATATTAGAACTATAATATATAATATAATTAAAAAGCATAGCCTTTCAGTGGCATTTTCACTGTTTGGCAGCTTTAAAATATAGCAATAACCTGTAGTGGTTTTGTCCTCAAGTGTCTGAAGGTCTTGGCAAAATGTCCTACAAAATGTTATTTATCTTTATTTGGTTCAATCAGTGAAAACTGTTGTTTTTAAATTAATAGAATTTGGTTTCTTTTTGACAAGCATGAGGAGGCATGCAAAAGGAAACTTGTCTTCTTCTGCCAAGCACCACAAGTTGTCGTACTTCAATATTGCTGCAGTGAATTAAATTGTAAATTTTGTACAACTGAGATCCTCTATTAAGGGATGCATAAGAGAGAGATGCAGTACCATACAATGTAAAAAAGTTGGCCCTGTAAAATGAGACTGCATATGAAATTCCTTTTACACTACAAGCAAAAATTCCATCAAATCTTGGTCACTGGCAGACATAATTCTCCTTTTAGGGAAAAAGAGCTAAGAGAACACAAAGGAAAATGACACTCAGTAGGTTTTTCAACTATATAGCCCATTCTTTCTTCCCACAAACCTCCTCCTCTAGCAAATCTCTGTGACATGAATTTTAAAAAGCTTCCTTGAGCTGTTCCCAACCATAAATGGGTAATTCTCCAGGAGGGGTACAATTTGGCTTTTATTGGAATAACATTTTTCTAATCTATATCTAAACATTGAAATTGACTTTAAGTATCCAAAGAAAAGGACTATAGGATTGTACTGAAGGATGTCAAAACCTTCTAGAAAGTAGACCTCACTGTGTGAAAATGTCTTATTTTATAAGTGAAATAAGTCTCAGTGGGGGCATCTACACTGGGGGCTAATTAGCTCCACAGTAAAGCACCTCCATCTACATGTGCAGAACTATTACGCCACAGTAAATTAGTTAACTCTACTGTAAATTAGTACTGCCCAACACAAGTACAATCCTACAGCAGAGTTACTTACTCTGCTGCAACTCGTGTAGACAGTAACTGGGGCTGGGGCCTGCTGGCTAGCCCCACATTGTAGCACCCCTGTGCCCCAGCCAGCCCTGCTGCAGCATGTTGAGTCAAGTAAGAACAGCCCTGGGCTGGCAGGCTGATCTTTCTGGCTCCTCTGACAAATAGGGCTGTGGCGCCCCAACTCAACCTGCTGTGGTCTGGGTGCACATGTAAATACCGAGTCTGGGAGCAATAAACTCCAGTGTGAACTGCACCACAGCTTATTGTGTCACATTAATATTTACATGGAGATGCCCCCAGTAGAAACTTGCAAAGTTGATTCTGGAGCCAGTACGATCCTCCAGATCCTTGAGAGGAATCTGTCTTACTCCAGTTTCTCTTGTCTTTGCATACAACATGCACTTGTTTTGCAGTAACTCTTTTTGGTATAAGAAAATCTGTACCCATTGCATCTAAAGTAAGGATGTCACAATTCATAAACCTTATTTTTCTGCTTGTTTCTAAAATACCTTTAACTCAATCATTTTGCAAGCAGTTAATTTGGAAGTAATTTCTATTTCTTTCCCCCTAAACAATTATTTAATCTGTATACTGGGTTGACATTTATACCATGTCAAAATATTTGAACTTTTACTGAATATGTTTGGGATGTTAGAATAAAGATGAGTAATAAGTAGTTGAATTGATTGTTGTGCTGCAGCAAGGCTGGCACATTGAGCCAAGTCAGACCAAACCCAGCTGACAGGGGTTGGGGGGGCGGGGATCAGTCCACTAGCCCAGGGCTGCTCCAACCTGGCTTAATGTGCTGCAGCAAGGCTGACTGGGGCACAAGGGTGCTACAATGTGGGGTCAGCCAGCAAGCAATCCTATACTGAAGCACCCTTGTGCCGTAGCCAGCCCTGGCAGCATCTATGCTTAGTATGCCATGTTGCTGCATACTACAGAACGCAGCAGTAAGATACTACTTATGTTTACAAGTACTAACTTATAGCAGAGTTAATTAGTTTACTGAGGCCTAATAGGGCCGCCTGTGCAGACACTAATATTTTACTGCGGATCTAATATAGATGCCCCCAATGTGTCTCTTAATTATTTCAGTGTGTCCTAACTAAGGTATAGAAAGAAAAACAAAATAGATTTTAAAAAGCGAGAAACTGAATATGAATTATTTGAAGTACAGTTTTTCCTTTTTGGAAAAAACAAAAAGCAGTGATTATGAGAGTGAGAGTCAACTAGCAGTGGATAAACATGGAATTCCAGACACAATGCAGATTTCCATACAGGAACTTACAAAATACCTCTGTCTCAATTTGTAACATCTCTGGTAACCCTGACTACAGATCCTGTTAAATTATATATTGATTTTGTATGCCTATGTCAAGACCATCAGTAATTATTAACAGTAGTAGTCATTTTCAAGTTGTCTGTCCTAGTATTTGAAGCACCCAGCTTGAATCCATGATATTCATTCTCTGCATTTCAACACACTGTTTTCCTTTAAATAATAATAATGCTTCATAGGCTATATATGCCATCCTCATCTTCTCAAAAAGTTCTCAAACTGCAATTGCAAAAATGTAAGCATCTTTTTCACTAAAAGGATTTCCTTTATGAATTTCCATGAATGAAACTTTCTTCATAATGAGCAGGATTTAGTGTCTAAATACTGTTAATTAATAAACTCTAAGGCCATTTATAAAATGTGCTCCGGGAGGCACTGCTTTAATTACAGTGGCTCTGAGAGCCGCTCTAATTAAAGTGCCTGGAGCCTCACATGTAGCAGCATCCTTGCACTGAAAAATGACAGCGGGGCGCTTTAACTAAAGCTTAGCAAATGAGCTTTAGTTAAAGTTCCCCCACTACCATTTTTCAGCGTGGGGATACTGATACACATGACACTGGAGTCTGTTCCAATGTGATATAATTACAGCATATTGGAGCAGCCTCTCTGAACATGTATAGGCACCCTAATTGATTAGCACATTAAATAAGGCACCTCAGTCATATTCCTGGTTAGTTGTGGGCACCCTGGTCATCTATTTTACTCATTTTACATATCTAAAAAATTACACCATATGAAAAAATACATTTATAAGATTTTTTTTAAGTTAGGGAATTAGTTTCCTTATCATTCACGGTGATGAGTTAAATAATATTTTTATAAACTTCAAATACAATATGACAAAAAGCTTTATGAAACCAGACTATATAAAAAGCAAGAGAATTTTTTTTTCAGAAAGATGTATTTGCAATTCAACTGACCATATAAAACTCATTAAATTTAAAAAAAAGTTGTATATATTTTTGCTAGTGCTATGTTTTTTTCCATTCATTGCAACAACATTCAAGAGTACTGTAGAGTCCAGAACACATTATCCTTTTTTGTGTAGCACAGTGAGCATAAATCTTTTACACGGAGGTCACTCTCATCACAACCTCTCCAGAGCTGTTATCTTCTGAGGAATCCTCATTAGGTCTCATACGACTGAAAAGGTGTAACAATACATAACCGCACTGAAATCTTGGAGAAGTTAACTGTGTTGGATGGACTACATTTCTGTTTCTAAATGCTGTTAGTGGTAACCACAATGTCCTTCCTGCTGAAGACTCTCCTCGGTTGCTCTCTTCTATGTCTGTAGCTTTATCATAATTTAACACATCCCAGTGCAAATTAACAGCCCTCCAGCGCTTAAACACTCTGTAAACAGATGCACCTTCATGTATGATTAGTCCTGAAATGAAAGAAAGAATTAGTGTTACTACAAAATATTATGAGACCCTATTTTAAAAGTATATGAAGAAAGATAGTGTAAGTTTCAACCACCAGGTTTATCCCACTGCATCTGGTAGCCACCTAACAAATTAAGCTGAAGATCACTATGAATTTTTAATATTAATAATACTAATAACTGCACATTCATATATAAAGATAATTAACTGATCAAAATTTATCTCTATACTATTTGAGGTAAACTTTGGAGCTACTTGGTGTCTCCATCACAATTTTACCTCTATTTACCAGCAATTCAATCGAAGCCTAAACTTTTAAATGAAAGTTATTAGCCCTTATCATTATGACAGACACTGTCTGAATGGGAGCTCAACAATAACAATTGTGCTATCTCAAGTCTTGTATGTATTAGAAAATTATGATGACTTAATTCAGCTGATGAAAATTAATCTGACTGGCTCATTGGCAGGTTCATAATTTACAGTGGTTTAACTTTTGTTTAACCAGTTTTAAGTTTAGCATAAGTGCTTTTATGTTCAGGATTTGTACTGGTCTTACTATATATTAAGGCAAATCAAGCCTTGTTGTTTTCAAATACATTGAGTTAAGCCCTTCATGTGAACAAGCTTAAATTGTTTTTAAAATAGCTTATTTAAATTACTCTCAACAGATTTATGATTGCTCACATTCGTACTTAAATTGGCACAACTTTACAACAAATAAGAGTGAACTTCACTGTTAGTTGAATATATTATTAAGTTCAAAGACTGGCATGATTATTTAAATCTTGACTATTATTTCATGAGCAGACACTGAAGTCATGGACGTTATTCTTTCTTTTCAAATACCAGATGGTCAGAAAACAGGAATTCATTTTTGAGATCTGCAGAAATCAGGGGACCCATTTTAAAATATCCCTCAAGGGAAATATGGTCCACTGTGGAGTGATCTACTCTTGAGCTTCCACCCAGAAAATATTTACACATGGCCTACGGACAAAAATTACACATAAACTAGTATAAGTGATCAGAAACTGGTTCAAATCTGTAATACAACAGAAATTCAGTGCACACAAATTGCTTTCAAAATGGCTGAAAGCAGTTTAAGATAAACCTCGATGGATGGTAGTATCAGCCTTAACTGATTTAGGTTAAATCAGTTTATTGAACTGCTGTTCCAGATCCCCTCCAGAATCAAGCTGTCTGCTCAAGCCAAGCAGGGAAGTGTGCTGTCATAGGCAGAATAATGAATGGGCCAGCTGGGCACAAGCATAGGGGTCATTTCAGGGCCCTGGGATCTTCATCATCAGGGGACTGAAAGCCGCAGTCTTAAACTGAGTGCCCATTTTTGTTTCCCAGCAGGTGTCAAATTTAAAACCTTGGCTTTCGCATTTGCTTCCCTGGAAAGCTGGAGGTTGGAGTCCCTCTACCAATGAGGGTGGGGTTGGGGATGGGACTGGGGCTGGGGCTGGGGCCAGGCCAGGAGATCCGTGCCATGCCTGGAAGAGGAGTAGGGGAGTGGGGAAGCATTGGGTTGTGCTGCGCCTGGAAGGGGGTCCAAACTGGGCCAGGAGAGCTGTGCCCCACCTGGCAAGGAGGGATGGTCAGGACTGAGCCAAGCCGCACCCCACCTGGTGGTGGGGGGACTAGGGGGAGGCCCAGCCAGGCCAGGAATGCTGCACCGCACCACACCTTTGTGGGCAGGAGCGCTGGGAGGGTCTTGGAGGCTATAGCCCCCCAAAATTCATCTTAGACCCTCCACAGCCACCCCTCCCAGTGCCACCACCCAGCCACAGAAACACAGCGCAGTGCTCCTGGCCTGGCCCCAGCCCAGCCTACCCTCTGCATCTGCATGATTGTATGGGACAGCCGGGAAGCGGCTCCCTGTAGGTAAGTGTAATAGGGGTTGGGCAGGGAGCTAAACTGAGCTGCAAGTGGCTCATGGTAAAGGGGTGGGGAGGGCTGCCTCCATGTGATCAGAAGTGGGGGAGGGGGAGATCCTGTGAGGGGTAAGAGTGTGTGTGTGTGTGTGTGTGTGTGTGTGCGCGCACACATGTGCATGCATCTGTGTGTCTGTTCATGACAGGGAGAGTGTGTTTGTGTCTGTGTTCATATGCAGTGAGTAAGAGTAGAGTGCGTGCACCTGTGTGTGTGCATGTGTGTATGTATGTTCAGCCATAGCAGAGACAGGGAGCAGGGAGAAGAGGCGGGCACGTGCCCCCCCCCAGCCCAGTGGGGTCCACCCAGCCCCCCTGCCAGCTGTTGGAGGGGAAGGGGCCCTACTTCCCCCCCCTGCAGCCCAGTTCCCATGAGGAGAAGGGGTCTCAAATGTTGTGTTTGCCCAGGGCTCCAGTACCCCTTAATCCACCTCTGCATGCTCTAGCACCCTCCCTTCTCCCTCCCCCTGGCTTCCAACCTGGGGATCTGCAGGCATGTGGCTGCATTTCTGGAATCAAAAGTGAATGTCTGTTCACTTGCTTATCAATTCAATCTACACAACTTAGACTAACCTGTGAAGATTGAATTGATTCAGCCTTGGGCTTTTTGACTGTCTGTACTTATTAGCCATATACTATAAACTCTGTTTGAATGCAGTACTCCCTTCTCCAGGACTCCACATATTCATGTGTCAAAATGTAAGCATGTAAGTATTATCAAGATCAGGGCTTTACTAAGAGTTAGAGGGCACATGCAGCAAGTCTGCTTCAACACTGTAATTATAGCACATCAAAACAGACTCGATTCATCGAGTCTGCCTGAGCATAGTAATTACCGTGCTCCAGCAGACTCCAGTATCATGTGTATCAGTGTCCCCACACTGAAAAATGGTGGCAGAGATATTTTAACTAAATCCTGTCTGATTAGCTTTAGTTAAAGCACCCCCACCATCAGTTTTCAACACAGTGACACTGATATATGTGATGCTCTGGACACTTTAATTAGAGAGGTTCTTGGAGCCTTTTCTACTCTTATTCATGTGAAAAAATTATCTTTTAAAAACAATGACAGAGGACCACCATGGATGGATTAGCTCATGGGTGAATCCTTTTGATCAACAGGGCAACTGACTGATTTGTAAGACAGCCGGAATCACTATATTTATTGCTTGCCCAAAGCATTAGATAGCATGCAATCATTATGAATTTCATTTCATAACAGAAAAGCTAACTTGCATTCTGGTCCTTCCCCAGCAGTAAAATCCTAACACTGTAACTGTACAGGCAATTATTAAAATTACAAATGAACAGATGGTAGAAGGCCCAGCATTAAAAGTAGTAAGAGGTAATAGAACAAATGGAAAATCCTGGCACGGGAGGTTCATGGGCTTTTTCAGTCATCCTCTTAATGAGAAACAAACTCTTAGGGTCTGTCAGACTCGGGAGAGAAATGTGTTAGGAGTCATTGTTCTCTGCCACCAGGGAGTCTCATTGTGGGAGTTGTGTGTTTTGCCTGGAGGTCAGGATAACATTTCTAAACAACAGTTGCCTTTTGAAGGCACATGCTATTAACTTGATTATTACATTCTATAGAGAATGCAAATATTTAGTTTTCTCTAAACATCTTTTGATTCCTTTTGGTCTCTAGAAGCTCTAGTTTGCAGTTCAGATCCTAAGTGGCAGGGGTGGGCAGGGGAAGGGTCAAGGTTTCTGTGTAGAGTGAAAACATGTGAAAATAAAAAGACACTTTCCTAATGACATCCTAGTGCTCTATTCATAGGACCCTACAGGAAGAGGCTAGCTAGTATTTGTTTCCTTGAACAGGACAGCTGAGGAGTCCTGATAATTGACAGTGATTGGATGCCACTACCTTTTCAAAAGCAGGCTCTACTATTAATGCCACTTCAAGAGAAAGTTATTTGTAAATGTGTAAGCTGAACTTCAACTGCATAGATTTCAGATAACGGCCCACTATGAACACAGAATATTGAAACTGTTATCCTCCTAAATTTAGTGGAATCTGAGCTAATAAGGCAAAGGAATATCAGTTAACTCAAAATAAATGATTTCACAGTTGTATCCATTTGGACAAGTTTTGATCTGAGATGGTTTAACTTTCTACAGAGACCACGATTATCCCTGAATTCTATATTGGTTAATTCTGTCTAAGTGTTAATAAGTGTTCAAATGTATAATCTACTTCTTTCCTCTCTTTCTAATTTCCTCTCATCTTCAATTTTAAGTGGTGGGAGGTCAGGAAAACAAATAGTGATATGAACTGACTGCCCAATACAATTCTTGCCCAAATTACAATCAGAGATGAGGCCTTTAAAGAAAGATGACAATGATAGCAAGAATCATTGGGACACTTCTATGAGTGCATAACATCAAATCAGATAACAAAAGCTTCAAGATCAGTAGGCTTCTAGATAGTGGGGGGTCCATGTTCATTATACCTGATAAAAATTATTTTGCTAAAGGATGGACCAACACTTTTTATTTACTATATCTGTGGGATGTAGTAACTAAAAACAGCAATGATGTAAACCTTTGCAGTTACTAGGGATAATATAGACATCAGAAACCATACAATTAAAATAAATTGGACATAGTATTTCCTATTTGAAGGCTTTTCTACACCTACCTGGATCTCATCCGATAAACCAAAAACTACCTCCCATAAATGTAGAACTATGTTGTAAAATGAAGGAACTAGGTCAATTACCAATTTTAGAAAAATCTAAACTCTTGAAAAGAAAGAATGATGTTGTCTGAGTAGATCTAGAAGCTCTTAGAACCAAATCAGTCATGACCCTGCTGAGAAAACCAAGATCATGCTCTCTGAGGTTTGATAACACTAGATGAGGAACAGGGCACTGAGGTAGGAAGCTTTTTGTTTTTTTCACCTCATTTCCTCCTCCAGGCAGAGTCTATCTAGACAGCTCTATAAACTTATTCTACCTTCTCTTCAGGGCACTTTGTAGGCAAAGGAGGTTACTTTGGTGTTTTGTTGTCACCCTTGACAAGATTACAGATTTGAAAGGTGACAACTGGATTAGAAGTTACATGGAGTGGTACACATGAAGGAGGATCTGGATAAGATTGAAATTCCTGAGCTCTTCGGGCTGATATTGGAAGTTTCAAAAATATTCCAGCTCTCAAGCTAGGTACAATTAAATGGAAGTGTGGAACAATGATAAGGAACTTGCTGTTCTTTTTTTTAAGACATTCATGTCACTGAACAGAAACAACAAACTACATGAATTTGATAATGCCGACTTCCACCAAAAATCATTGTTCCCACAGTACTAAGGACACATCCACACAGTCCTGAAGAAAAAAAGACTAGCTCCAGAGAATCTTGCTGGCATCAATCCAGAAGACCCCAAAGAGAGTTACTGAAGTTCAGTTCCTTTCAGCCTAAGATAAAGCATTATAGGCATCAACAGTAGTTTTCTGGAATCATGAACTTTAGAGGTACAGCTTCTGGAACAAAGTCTTAATCGTTTTGGGCTTCTTTCAAAAGAGTTCTGTGGGTATCAACATTTTTAGCTAAGTAATCTTTCCTATGAAATAAAAAGTATTTTTCTTTCCTAACTGAAGCTAAGAAACATGGCAAAAGGGAAAAAAACAACCCTTTAACTGTATTTTGTATATGGTGCCAAAAATTGCCAAAAATGTGCACATAACCACTTATATCCAACTTTAACAATATAGTTATTACCAAAAAATGTTTAGTTAGACTTGAGTTAAAGTTGTTTAACATGAAGAGAAAAAAGAAAGAATGATGGGTAGAAAAAGAGAGACTGAGGTACAGTTAAAGGAAAATAGTTCTTTACACCTATTGGTCTTTTGATTGAGGGAATTGCACACATCCAAACTGCTTAATACTGTTCACAAAAGGTTCTATGATCATATACCTGTTTGCTTCTCATGCTTTTCCTGTCATTTCCATGACTTCTCTATCTTAGTTAACCCCAGCAGAAGAGGTTATAATATTTGGCAGTATCAGTGTGCACAGCTCTGAGGATGTAATTGGTTATGGTTCCATAGCCACTCCATTTGAATGCTGAATGAAATTTCTTACAGGACAAATTCCAAAGTATGCAAGGATTTTAGAGAACAGCTTCCTTCCAAGTTCAGAAGTACAACTGCACTGACTGATGCTGCCAGAGAATTGCCAAATTGATGGTGATACTGATACTGAAGTGACAAGAAGGGGAATAATGTCAGGAGGAAACAAGAATTCTGGGGAAGATCAGAGTTGGATGAAGGAAACAATAAACCTAAATATATCCCATGTGCTAGAATCCATAGCTGTTTATTGCTGCCAGAAGAATACTAACTCATAAATAAAAACTGAACAACAGAGAAAAAAACCCTTTGGTTCAATCCAAACCAAAAAATAATTCATTAAAAATGTTTCTTCCTGTAATAAAAAACTGAAAAAAATGTAATAGGTTAAATATCAAATTTAAGTTTTAGTTTGACTCATATGAAAATATAATTCATTTTAAGCATTTTTTTCAAAAGCAAAACAATAGAAATGAAAAGCTAGACTTAAGCTGTATTCAGAAAATGAGCAAGTAGGAGGATTTCCAGCTGTAGCCCTTTTCACCCAATAATACAGCGCTTTGGAAATTGACATAAGATGTTGTAGAATTCCCTCCACTACAAGAGAGAGGATTTGAATTCACATATCCTACCTCTAGGGGAATGCCCTGACCGCTATTCTATAAGATATCCTGGAACGAAGTATTCTTAGTCTCTTCTGTTAATATTGTTATATTTAAACATTCACTGAGACAAAATAGGTAAAAGAGAACAACAGTATAGTTTGATGGTAAGGGCCCTCATCTGAGAAGTAGAAACCCTAGGCTCCAATGGTTATATAAGTAATGCATACAAAGTAGAACAGCATTAACAGGAGAAGATGCTGCCCACAAATACCTGAGTGCTCAGTAGGTCAGGCTGTGCTGGGAAATGTTGTAAAATGTGGGTTCAAGTCTACTCAGGCAAAGTGGGGAGTTGATTCTAGGTCTCATATCCTGGGTAAAAACCCTAACTACTGGGTTTTTAAGAAAAGGGGTCAACTGTCCTCCCCACCTCCCCCCAGGATTATGAATCCAAACCAATAATTTTCAGCTAATTCAGTAAATAAACTCATTGAAAATATTTAGCGAATTCTACCTGAATTCACAAATAATTTGGAAAGAACAAAACTGCATTTTCAATAAATCAAGAAAAATTAAATAAAATAGTCCATTCCGAGTTATAAACTGAATTCTGATATGGTTAATAAAGACTAACTGGTTTCATGGTTACAGAAAAAAATGAAGAGTCATGAAATCGCTCTGCTATGATCTTACTGAGTGACTTTGTACAAGTCACTCTTCAGTCTTTCAGTACCCCTTAAAATGGAATAAGATCATTTTTCTTTTTAGAATCTGGGATGATGAGGATTTAATTATGTCAGCTACAATATTTTTGGCACTATATGTCTAATAATATAGCCTAAGTATTTACATTGAGTTATTAACATCATTCTATTTCTTTTGGTATGAATATTTTAACAGTCAGTGCAAAGGTATTTGAAAGTTTTAAATTTAAACATTGTTATCAATGTTTTGTAAGAAATACCAAATATGACTTAAATAGCTTCACAATACATTTTATTATATTGTTGATAAATATATCTAAATCAGATTAGCATCAATATACTATCTGAGAGTACATGCCAAATTAAAATAACCTTTATTTGTCTTTTAAATCAAATCTTCATCATTCATCTATCAAGCCTCTTGAACTTTACTATTCTTTTAAATTTCAAAATCAGTCAAGGTTAGAGTATTGTTGTACCCACGATGGTCCAAGATGTGTATGGAAGTAAAAGGTTTCCTGTGTTATCTTTTATTGGACCAACTGTATAATTGGAAGAGCTGTTGGACAAGCTTTCAGACATGAAGTGCCCTTCTCCAGGGACCTGAGAAAAGCACATGAAGTCTTTCAGCTTATAGTTGGTCCAATTAAAGTTATCATAAAACATCCTTCTTCTTGTACACAATTAGTCAAAATGGAGAGGAAATTCTTTGAGAAATCAGTGAGAGTAAGTCTGTTTTCCTTCTCTCCTAGAGTTTTTTTAATGTTATCCATCCAGTATTTGCTAAAGTTGTCAGCTGAGAATATATCAGCAGAGAAGTGAAGATCTAAGGAAGTGTCACCTGTTTGAGAATACATAATGATACTCTTACACCACTCTTGTGTTGTTTAAAATGTTTATCTTACCTATGCACACTAGATCCATAAAACCATACATTCCATAGCAGATCTGAAAAAGGATGTCCTTTCTTTGCCATACTGCATAGGGGCTGAAGGCTGACCATAGAAGCCAAGTCACACTTGCTACTAAGAACAAAGATCCTAGGATTACAGCAATCATCTGCACTTTCTCAACCAGCGTTATAGTAATGCTTTGCCACTAAAAGAGAAACAAAGTAGCATAAGATAAAGTGTTATTTTTTGCGATCAGACATTCATCGCCAGTTTTCTCTTCAAATCAAAAACCATTTTAACATTTAGACACGCCTTCATAGATTTTTGCAAATGTGCTTTATACTAACCCTTATCAAGAAAAAAGAGCAGACTAATATTAGAGACTGGTTTAGGTTTTTTGCAAAATGATTGTCCATATCACCATCTTGAGGTCTATTTGGAGTGTATTATTTTAATCTTATTTTTAATACATGGAAAAAATATTTAGTATCAAGAAATAAAGTTTGCTATTCATATCAGTAGGATAATGAACAGGGTGTAAAAAAAAGTGGAAGAAATAAAATCTGCTTTAAACATTGGATCAATGAAAGAGGGTGCAGCTTAGCACTGTGCGTACAGAAAAGCTTCTCAGGCACACCTAAATACAATGCAAAAATAGCTCAAAATAAACATTATAGTAAAAGGATTCATTAAAAGAGGATAAAGTAAGTGAAATTCAGTCATAAGTACAATATTGTGAAAGAATATATTTTCCTTTTATCATGTTGTACATATACATGTGATTTGAGTTTGTCAGGTTTTCAAATCTATAGAACTCTATTTGGGTTCTATGAAGTAATATATTCAATAGCAAAAATCATTTTCATACTTCTCGACTACAGCCACACAGTGTAACTGGGCAGATAAATCTTTTCCTATTTTCTAACATTATCAAAGGGAGGCAGAAACAAAATAAGTATTTTCTAAATGCCTGAAATCAAAGCACTTCAATATAATAAAAATGTACTTCCATGAAATAACTGTTTTGAAAATATGAGATGGGTTTAAAAAAAGCATTTTGTTATAAATTGATAAATAAACAGCCAACCTTTAATAGTACAATTTCAGCAAGGCACAGGTCCTTTATGTAATGAATTTATGGTAAGATGATCATGTTTCGGTTTTCATTATTTTAACTTTAAAGGAAAGGAACTATTTACTCGTAATTATTTTTAAATGTATTTTCCATTCCGGAAAGGGAAGTCAGTACAAATATTTCACTGGGAATAAGGGGTCCTAAATTACTAAAGAATCTCACCTATGGGTCTCATTTGGAATTATGATGACTTCAGTGGGAGGACAGCATAAGTAAACTGTGATTTGTCACTATCACTTGATAACTGGTAATCATCATTTCCAGGGTACCTGAGGAGTACAACTTTTTCCATAAGAAAAATGCAGTAGCAAGAGCAAGAGACAGGCCAGCAGCTGTGATGCCTTTGACAGTGTTGGTGGAACAGGTGGTGAAAGCAGCAGCAGTTGTGGCAGGGTAATGATGGAAGTGGCAGGGTAAGTGACCACGGTCTAAGCAGCCATGGGGGAACCACAGCAGGCCAAGCAGCTACGTGGGAAGCAGGGCTATGTTGGAACAACTTTTGCTCACCACCCTGCTGTCAATCAGGGCAGTTGTTAGCTGCTCATTGAGTCCCAGGCTCTTATCTTTTAAGACCATGGATGTTTCCTTACTCTAGATACCTGAGTCGATATTTTAGCTGCAGGCACTGTTATTTCCCAGAGCATGAACAGTGAAAAGGAACTGGATGGCATTACAAGGGCCCTGTAGCACCAGATCTGTAGCAATTACATACAATTTAAGGTGATAGTGAGGAGAGGGAGCTGACTTTTCTAACACCAGTGTCAGACTTTGGAAGATGAGAATGGTGTTAGGAATATAACATGAACATCTGCCTGACTGGTGCTACTGGTATGGGACTGAGAAAGACCCTGCTCACTGTGACTCCTGAGCACTGAAAACCTAAAGTGTTGCTGGTCCTCAGCATCAGTGAAAACAGCACTTTTTAGTTAATTATGAGGGATGTAAACAGTCAGTTAAAGGATGTGGCTGTAGTTTGAATGGTTGGCCTGAACATCAGATTAAAGGCCTGATCCTGGTTCAAGGAAAATAAAAATGTAACATTTGGAGCTATGCTCTCTCATATTTCCTTGGTTGTGGGTTGTAACAAAATAGGTAAAGTAGGTGTGGAGCCCTGACAGACACTGATAGTCATACATTTTTTAACTGTAGCCTGCCACATGATTACTCTGAATTCACAAAGGAAAAAATTAAAAGAAAGTTTCTATGTATCTAAACATTCTTGAGTCTATACATTAGCAGAACAATTCAGGATTTGAGAAATAGGCAATATGGTATGGGCAAATGGTTTTTATACTTTTTGCATACTTATACATTTTGTGTAATATTTTTTACTGGAACATTCTTCCAACTGTAGTACAAGAACTGGTTAGATAGGGGTGTACTATTTGTTCTATTTTACCTATTAATTTTACTATTTTACTATTTACTTTGACTTGCTCAAGTTCTGTTATCAGCTTTTTGACTCCTAGGCACTTGTCTTTTAAGACCACCAACGTTCCCTTACTCTAGATACCTGCCTCTATCTTTTAGCTGCAGGCACTGCTATTCCCCAAACTGTGAATGGTGGGAAGAAACCAGATGGTATTACAATGTCTGCTATGCCCAGCATGTGGTGTCTACCAATCATCACTAGGGTATATACACTGAATGGGTACTGCTGGCAAAACAATTAAAAGCTTGGTCTTTGGTTCAAGGACTACATGTTCACTTTCTCTGGCATACTCACATTGGAAGCAAGCACTTTAAGAATTGAAGATCTATTTATAAAACAACATTCACTTTATAGAATAAAAAAAATAAGTTTGTCTAATTGGCTATGATTATTTATAGCACTTTACTCCACACTGCATTGCATGCTGTTCCAATCACCTAATCTTTTAACATTAAAAGAACTAATTGTAAGTCAAATTCATCAGCGTGAATGAGGCTAGTGAACAAAGTAATAACATTTTAATGACAGTTTCAATATTAAGAGGTTGCACTAAATATTTTACAAACTGAATTATTTAACATTAAAAACTGAATAAATCTAGCTGTTAAGAAAAAATTGTAATTCTAATTTAAATCACTATATTTGTAACAAGGACATTTCTTTACTTAATTTGGTCATTTATTTCATAACTCCTTTTTGGATGTCAATATGAAGTCTCTCTTCCATTACCTCTAATTTTTATTGTCATCTGCTGACTGCATACTTAATTAGTATCATCATCATTTCAGCAAAGTGCTTTGCAAGTTAAAAATCAGGTTAGAAATTATTTTCAGAATATGTAGTTTACGCAATGAACATGGAGGAAGAGATTTGCAGAAATACCATTGGAAAGGTTAACATCTCCCATGAAGACAAAAGTCTTTAAATTTATATATTGATAGCCATAATCTCATTATTCCTATCCGTTAAGTGCTTTAAGTCATTGCTAGGTAAGAACATTATTTCCTATCTTTATATCTTTAAATAACACCAACCCTTTCTATATTATAAACTGGCAGATCTAATTTATAGGGTAAATTGTAATCCATAGTTAGACCTATTCACATGGCACCACATCAAAATAACTTTGTAGATGCCGCAATTTAGCCATCTCAGGGTTATTTCTGGTTTTTTAAACAATCACTGTGCAATGTAAAATGCATGAACAATTCAGGGAGCAAGCATTAGGAAGCATGTCTCTGTAGCCTAGTGTGGACAACACTCTTCTGCAAGGGAGGGTATACTGGGCTCTGGTCCCACCTGACAAGCCTATTTATGTTTTTCACATGAGAAAGCCATAGGTTAAAAAACAGGAGTGACCCTAAGGGCAGGAACCAGAATGAGGGACTCCACATTCTTTTCAGAGGCTATATAGTCATACTCCCTCTTGCTTGCTTTCTCTTTCTGGCTCCAAAAATGATGTGCTCTTGGCTGCATGGTGGTGCAGATGCTACAGAAAGAAAGAAGGAAAAGACCCAACCTAAACCAGCCCAGAGTCCATTAGGGCATTCTTCTGATTAGTGGGAATTTGGGGTTGTTCATTCAAATTGAAGAGAGCTTTAAACCAAGATCTCTCACTTCCTGGGTAACTGCTCTTAACAATTAGTCTATTACACAAAATGTAGACACCACCAAGACCAGTGCTGCCATCGTTTTGTAATGAGCTATATTCATGCTCTCAGTATCAAACAAAAATAGGTATGCTTTATCTCTACATAACCAGTCAGCAACCTCTTCACATGAGATTTGGATCACAGCCAAATTTAAGCAGTAGTTAGCTGCTTATGTAGATAATCTGGATTACTTCAAGAGTCTTCATAATACCCCTAGTCTATCGGTAATGATCTTTGCAAAATGCATGCAATCAGTGAATCTAGGTATCTCCACAGTTTTGGTAAGGTTTAGGTGGAGTCACTCTGAATTGCTTCTTGAACATTAGACACCTAAAGCCTAAATCATGTGTAGTGGATTGAAAGATTGATTTTGAATCAGACCATAGTCTACTCTGCCAGCTTGCATCCATGCAGCTACTTACTCAAAGTAGCAATGGTGACTAAAATATCCATTGTAGGCATGTTCCTTATAGAAAAAATATTGTAAATGCAACCTCTGATTTAATACCCATGCTGCACTAACTTTAGCAGATGTAAACAACTACAAGAGATAAAAGGCAATGGGGACTAAATATTATCTTCATTAGAAGACACTGTAAGAGTACTCTTCATGGACACCATACTAAAATATTCTTCCTGATTTTCCTTGGAAAATAATCACATTTACCCCTTGAGCTTTAGCTTTTGAGGACCTACTTGACTGTTGTTTTTTTGTCTTGTGTGTTGGTTTGATTTGGTTTGGTTTTGTTCTCTTACCCACACTAAGGGAACTCTCACTGGCATACGATGTACTGGAAACTTTCTGCACATCAGTTACATATCCTGGCTCTAACCCTGAGCTCAGATGCATTGTTCCTCTTCTGTTTTAAGTGCTTTGTCAGATTATTTTTCCAAAATAACTTTCAAAAGCAGAAGTACTGCAGTACTTTTGAGCTTTTTAAAAGTTCACTTTTTTATAAATTGAAAGAAGCCTTCTGCTCAGAAGG